GTCTAGGGTGGTGAGTCTAGGGTGGTGAGTCTTGGGTGGTGAGTCTAGGGTGGTGAGTCTAGGGTGGTGAGGGTGGTGAGTCTAGGGTGGTGAGTCTAGGGTGGTGAGTCTAGAGTAGTGAGTCTAGGGTGGTGAGGGTGGTGAGTCTAGGGTGGTGAGGGTGGTGAGTCTAGGGTGGTGAGTCTAGGGTGGTGAGTCTAGGGTGGTGAGTCTACGGTGGTGAGTCTAGGCTGGTGAGTCTAGGGTGGTGAGTCTAGGGTGGTGAGGGTGGTGAGTCTAGGGTGGTGAGTCTAGGGTGGTGAGTCTACGGTGGTGAGTCTACGGTGGTGAGTCTAGGCTGGTGAGTCTAGGGTGGTGAGTCTAGGGTGGTGAGGGTGGTGAGTCTAGGGTGGTGAGTCTAGGGTGGTGAGTCTAGGGTGGTGAGTCTACGGTGGTGAGTCTAGGCTGGTGAGGGTGGTGAGTCTAGGGTGGTGAGTCTAGGGTGGTGAGTCTAGGGTGGTGAGTCTAGGGTGGTGATTCTAGGGTGGTGAGTCTAGGGTGGTGAGTCTAGGGTGGTGAGGGTGGTGAGTCTAGGGTGGTGAGTCTAGGGTGGTGAGTCTAGGGTGGTGAGTCTAGGGTGGTGAGTGTGGTGAGTCTAGGGTGGTGAGTCTAGGGTGGTGAGTCTAGGGTGGTGAGGGTGGTGAGTCTAGGGTGGTGAGGGTGGTGAGTCTAGGGTGGTGAGTCTAGGGTGGTGAGTCTAGGGTGGTGAGTCTACGGTGGTGAGTCTAGGGTGGTGAGGGTGGTGAGTCTAGGGTGGTGAGTCTAGGGTGGTGAGGGTGGTGAGTCTACGGTGGTGAGTCTACGGTGGTGAATCTAGGGTGGTGAGGGTGGTGAGTCTAGGGTGGTGAGTCTAGGGTGGTGAGTCTTGGGTGGTGAGTCTAGGGTGGTGAGTCTAGGGTGGTGAGGGTGGTGAGTCTAGGGTGGTGAGTCTAGGGTGGTGAGTCTAGAGTAGTGAGTCTAGGGTGGTGAGGGTGGTGAGTCTAGGGTGGTGTGGGTGGTGAGTCTAGGGTGGTGAGTCTAGGGTGGTGAGTCTAGGGTGGTGAGTCTACGGTGGTGAGTCTAGGCTGGTGAGTCTAGGGTGGTGAGTCTAGGGTGGTGAGGGTGGTGAGTCTAGGGTGGTGAGTCTAGGGTGGTGAGTCTAGGGTGGTGAGTCTACGGTGGTGAGTCTAGGCTGGTGAGTCTAGGGTGGTGAGTCTAGGGTGGTGAGGGTGGTGAGTCTAGGGTGGTGAGTCTAGGGTGGTGAGTCTAGGGTGGTGAGTCTACGGTGGTGAGTCTAGGCTGGTGAGGGTGGTGAGTCTAGGGTGGTGAGTCTAGGGTGGTGAGTCTAGGGTGGTGAGTCTAGGGTGGTGATTCTAGGGTGGTGAGTCTAGGGTGGTGAGGGTGGTGAGTCTATGGTGGTGAGTCTACGGTGGTGAATCTAGGGTGGTGAGGGTGGTGAGTCTAGGGTGGTGAGTCTAGGGTGGTGAGTCTTGGGTGGTGAGTCTAGGGTGGTGAGTCTAGGGTGGTGAGGGTGGTGAGTCTAGGGTGGTGAGTCTAGGGTGGTGAGTCTAGAGTAGTGAGTCTAGGGTGGTGAGGGTGGTGAGTCTAGGGTGGTGAGGGTGGTGAGTCTAGGGTGGTGAGTCTAGGGTGGTGAGTCTAGGGTGGTGAGTCTACGGTGGTGAGTCTAGGCTGGTGAGTCTAGGGTGGTGAGTCTAGGGTGGTGAGGGTGGTGAGTCTAGGGTGGTGAGTCTAGGCTGGTGAGTCTAGGCTGGTGAGGGTGGTGAGTCTAGGGTGGTGAGTCTAGGGTGGTGAGTCTAGGGTGGTGAGTCTAGGGTGGTGAGTCTAGGGTGGTGAGGGTGGTGAGTCTAGGGTGGTGAGGGTGGTGAGTCTAGGGTGGTGAGTCTACGGTGGTGAGTCTAGGGTGGTGAGGGTGGTGAGTCTAGGGTGGGGTGTCTAGGCTGGTGAGTCTAGGCTGGTGAGCGTGGTGAGTCTACGGTGGTGAGTCTAGGGTGGTGAGGGTGGTGAGTCTAGGGTGGTGAGTCTACGGTGGTGAGTCTAGGCTGGTGAGTCTAGGGTGGTGAGTCTAGGGTGGTGAGTCTAGGGTGGTGAGGGTGGTGAGTCTAGGGTGGTGAGGGTGGTGAGTCTAGGGTGGTGAGTCTACGGTGGTGAGTCTAGGGTGGTGAGTCTAGGCTGTTGAGTCTAGGGTGGTGAGTCTAGGGTGGTGAGGGTGGTGAGTCTAGGGTGGTGAGTCTAGGGTGGTGAGTCTAGGGTGGTGAGTCTAGGGTGGTGAGTCTAGGGTGGTGAGTCTAGGGTGGTGAGGGTGGTGAGTCTAGGGTGGTGAGTCTAGGGTGGTGAGGGTGGTGAGTCTAGGGTGGTGATTCTAGGGTGGTGAGTCTAGGGTGGTGAGTCTAGGGTGGTGAGGGTGGTGAGTCTAGGGTGGTGAGGGTGGTGAGTCTAGGGTGGTGAGTCTAGGGTGGTGAGTCTAGGGTGGTGAGGGTGGTGAGTCTTGGGTGGTGAGTCTAGGCTGGTGAGGGTGGTGAGTCTAGGGTGGTGAGTCTAGGGTGGTGAGTCTAGGGTGGTGAGTCTAGGGTGGTGAGTCTACGGTGGTGAGTCTACGGTGGTGAGTCTACGGTGGTGAGTCTAGGGTGGTGAGTCTTGGGTGGTGAGTCTAGGCTGGTGAGGGTGGTGAGTCTAGGGTGGTGAGTCTAGGGTTGTGAGTCTAGGGTGGTGAGTCTAGGGTGGTGAGTCTAGGGTGGTGAGTCTACGGTGGTGAGTCTACGGTGGTGAGGGTGGTGAGTCTTGGGTGGTGAGTCTTGGGTGGTGAGTCTAGGGTGGTGAGGGTGGTGAGTCTAGGGTGGTGAGGGTGGTGAGTCTAGGGTGGTGAGTCTACGGTGGTGAGTCTAGGGTGGTGAGTCTAGGCTGTTGAGTCTAGGGTGGTGAGTCTAGGGTGGTGAGGGTGGTGAGTCTAGGGTGGTGAGTCTAGGGTGGTGAGGGTGGTGAGTCTAGGGTGGTGAGTCTAGGGTGGTGAGGGTGGTGAGTCTAGGGTGGTGAGTCTAGGGTGGTGAGGGTGGTGAGTCTAGGGTGGTGAGTCTAGGGTGGTGAGTCTAGGGTGTTGGGTCTAGGGTGGTGAGTCTAGGGTGGTGAGTCTAGGGTGGTGAGGGTGGTGAGTCTAGGGTGTTGAGTCTAGGGTGGTGAGTCTACGGTGGTGAGTCTAGGGTGGTGAGGGTGGTGAGTCTAGGGTGGTGAGTCTAGGGTGGTGAGTCTAGGGTGGTGAGGGTGGTGAGTCTAGGGTGGTGAGTCTAGGGTGGTGAGTCTAGGCTGGTGAGGGTGGTGAGTCTAGGGTCGTGAGTCTAGGGTGGTGAGTCTAGGGTTGTGAGTCTAGGGTGGTGAGTCTAGGGTGGTGAGTCTAGGGTGGTGAGTCTACGGTGGTGAGGGTGGTGAGTCTTGGGTGGTGAGTCTTGGGTGGTGAGTCTAGGGTGGTGAGTCTTGGGTGGTGAGTCTACTGTGGTGAGTCTAGGGTGGTGAGTCTAGGGTGGTGAGGGTGGTGAGTCTAGGGTGGTGAGGGTGGTGAGTCTAGGGTGGTGAGTCTAGGGTGGTGAGTCTAGGGTGGTGAGTCTAGGGTGGTGAGGGTGGTGAGTCTAGGCTGGTGAGTCTAGGGTGGTGAGTCTAGGGTGGTGAGTCTAGGCTGGTGAGTCTAGGCTGTTGAGTCTAGGGTGGTGAGTCTAGGGTGGTGAGTCTAGGCTGGTGAGTCTAGGGTGGTGAGTCTAGGGTGGTGAGGGTGGTGAGTCTAGGGTGGTGAGTCTAGGCTGGTGAGTCTAGGGTGGTGAGTCTAGGGTGGTGAGGGTGGTGAGTCTAGGGTGGTGAGTCTAGGGTGGTGAGTCTAGGGTGGTGAGAGTGGTGAGTCTAGGGTGGTGAGTCTAGGGTGGTGAGTCTACGGTGGTGAGTCTAGGGTGGTGAGTCTAGGGTGGTGAGGGTGGTGAGTCTAGGGTGGTGAGGGTGGTGAGTCTAGGGTGGTGAGTCTAGGGTGGTGAGTCTACGGTGGTGAGTCTAGGGTGGTGAGTCTAGGGTGGTGAGTCTAGGCTGGTGAGTCTAGGCTGGTGAGGGTGGTGAGTCTAGGGTGGTGAGTCTAGGGTGGTGAGTCTAGGGTGGTGAGTCTAGGCTGGTGAGTCTAGGGTGGTGAGGGTGGTGAGGGTGGTGAGTCTAGGGTGGTGAGTCTAGGGTGGTGAGTCTACAATGGTGAGTCTAGGCTGGTGAGTCTAGGCTGGTGAGGGTGGTGAGTCTAGGGTGGTGAGTCTAGGCTGGTGAGTCTAGGGTGGTGAGGGTGGTGAGTCTAGGGTGGTGAATCTAGGGTGCTGAGTCTAGGATGGAGATTCTAGGGTGGTGAGTCTAGGGTGGTGAGTCTAGGGTGGTGAGTCTAGGGTGGTGAGTCTAGGGTGGTGAGGGTGGTGAGTCTAGGCTGGTGAGTCTAGGGTGGTGAGTCTACGGTTGTGAGTCTAGGGTGGTGAGGGTGGTGAGTCTAGGGTGGTGAGTCTAGGGTGGTGAGTCTAGGGTGGTGAGGGTGGTGAGTCTAGGGTGGTGAGTCTAGGGTGGTGAGGGTGGTGAGTCTAGGGTGGTGAGGGTGGTGATTCTAGGGTGGTGAGGGTGGTGAGTCTAGGGTGGTGAGTCTAGGGTGGTGAGGGTGGTGAGTCTAGGCTGTTGAGTCTAGGGTGTTGAGTCAAGAGTAGTGAGTCTAGGGTGGTGAGTCTAGGGTGGTGAGTCTCCGGTGGTGGGATGGTGAGTCTAGGGTGGTGAGGGTAGGGTATTGAGGGTGGTGAGTCTAAGCTGGTGAGTCTAGGGTGGTGAGTCTAGGGTGGTGAGTCTAGGGTGGTGAGTCTGCGGTGGTGGGATGGTGAGTCTAGGGTGGTGAGGGTAGGGTATTGAGGGTGTTGAGTCTAGGCTGTTGAGTCTACGGCGGCGAGCCATCGGTGGTGGAGGCATCTCACGTCCGACGACTGCATGACCCCCAGCAGGGGGAACATGAGGGCGGGCAGCAGGGCCGTGACGGACAGCGGCAGCGTCTCGCACGTCCAGAACACGGCCATGACGATCACCGTGTAAGCGCACCGGGACTCCTGCACTCGCGCGGACGAAGGCCCGGGTCACACCCCGAGCGCCGAGCGTAGCCTTCAGCGGGCTCCGGTGGCCCCCGGTTCCGCAATCGACGCTCTCGGTGATTTAACGGACTGTCGTGGCAAATGCTGCGGTGGCCCCCGGTCAGCATCACCGCTCTCGGCGGCTTAACGGACTGTCGTGGCAAATGCTGCGGTGGCCCCTGGTCAGCATCGTCACTCTTGTTGATTTAACGGACTGTCGTGGCAAATGCTGCGGTGGCCCCCGGTTCCGCATCGATGCTCTCGGTGACTTAACGGACTGTCGTGGCAAATGCTGCGGTGGCCCCCGGTTTCGCATGGACGCTCTCGGTGATTTAACGGACTGCTGTGGCAAATGCTGCGGTGGCCCCCGGTTCCGCATCGACGCTCTCGGTGACTTAACGGACTGCTGTGGCAAATGCTGCGGTGGCCCCAGGCCAGCATCATCGCTCTCGGTGGCTTAACGGACTGTCGTGGCAAATGCTGTGGGGGCCCCCGGTGTCGCATCGACGCTCTCGGTGACTTAACGGACTGCCGTGGCAAATGCTGCGGTGGCCCCCGGTTTCGCATCATCGCTCTCGGTGACTTAACGGACTGTCGTGGCAAATGCTGCGGTGGCCCCCGGTTCCGCATGGATGCTCTCGGTGACTTAACGGACTGTCGTGGCAAATGCTGCGGTGGCCCCCGGTTCCGCATCGACGCTCTCGGTGGCTTAACGGACTGTCGTGGCAAATGCTGCGGTGGCCCCCGGTTTCCCACGTCGCTCTTGGTGGCTTAACGGACTGTCGTGGAAAATGCTGCGGTGGCCCCAGGTCAGCATCGTCGCTCTCGGTGGCTTAACGGACTGTCGTGGCAAATGCTGCGGTGGCCCCTGGTCAGTGTGTGTACACGTGTGTGTGTGTGTGTGTACACGTGTGTGCGTGTGTGTGTACACGTGTGCGTGTGTACACGTGTGTGTGTACACGTGTGTGTGTCTGTGTGTGTGTGTACACGTGTGTGCCTGTGTGTGTGTCTGTGTGTGTCTGTGTGTACACGTGTGTGTGTTTGTACACGTGTGTGTGTCTGTACACCTGTGTGTGTTTGTACACGTGTGTGTGTCTGTACACCTGTGTGTGTGTACACGTGTGTGTATGTGTGTACACGTGTGTGTGTGTGTACACGTGTGCGTGTGTACACGTGTGTGCGTGTGTGTGTACACGTGTGCGTGTGTACACGTGTGCGTGTGTACACGTGTGTGTGTACACGTGTGTGTGTCTGTGTGTGTGTACACGTGTGTGTGTACACGTGTGTGTGTCTGTGTGTGTGTACACGTGTGTGTCTGTGTGTGTGTCTGTGTGTCTGTGTGTACACGTGTGTGTGTTTGTACACGTGTGTGTGTCTGTACACCTGTGTGTGTTTGTACACGTGTGTGTGTACACGTGTGTGTGTACACGTGTGTGTGTGTGTACACGTGTGTGCGTGTGTGTGTACACGTGTGTGTGTACACGTGTGTGTTTGTGTGTGTGTACACGTGTGTGTGTACACGTGTGTGTGTACACGTGTGTGTGTGTCTGTGTGTGTGTGTGTGTACACGTGTGTGTGTACACGTGTGTGTGTGTGTCTGTGTGTGTACACGTGTGTGTGTACACGTGTGTGTGTCTGTGTGTGTACACGTGTGTGTACACGTGTGTGTGTACACGTGTGTGTGTCTGTGTGTGTCTGTACGTGTGTGTCTGTGTATGTCTGTACACGTGTGTGTGTCTGTGTGTGTCTGTACGTGTGTGTGTCTGTGTGTGTACACGTGTGTGTGTGTCTGTGTGTGTCTGTACACGTGTGTGTGTCTGTGTGTGTCTGTACGTGTGTGTCTGTGTGTGTACACGTGTGTGTGTGTCTGTGTGTGTCTGTACACGTGTGTGTGTCTGTGTGTGTCTATGTGTGTCTGTACACGTGTGTGTGTCTGTACAAATGTGTGTGTCTGTGGGTGTACACGTGTGTGTGTGTGTCTGTGTGTGTCTGTACACGTGTGTGTGTCTGTACACGTGTCTGTGTCTGTGTGTGTCTGTACACGTGTGTGTGTCTGTACACGTGTCTGTGTGTGTCTGCACGTGTGTGTGTGTGTGTATGTCTGTACACGTGTGTGTGTCTGTGTGTGTCTGCGTGTGTCTGTACGTGTGTGTGTGTCTGTGTATGTCTGTACACGTGTGTGTGTCTGTGTGTGTCTGTACGTGTGTGTGTGTCTGTCTGTACACGTGTGTGTGTGTGTGTGTCTGTACGTGTGTGTGTCTGTGTATGTCTGTACACGTGTGTGTGTCTGCGTGTGTCTCTACGTGTGTGTGTCTGTGTATGTCTGTACACGTGTGTGTGTCTGTGTGTGTCTGTACGTGTCTGTGTGTATGTCTGTACACGTGTGTGTGTCTGTGTGTGTCTGTGTATGTCTGTACACGTGTGTGTGTGTCTGTGTATGTCTGTACACGTGTCTGTGTCTGTGTGTCTGTACGTGTGTGTGTCTGTACACGTGTGTTTGTGTCTGTGTATGTCTGTACACGTGTGTGTGTGTCTGTGGATGTCTGTACACGTGTCTGTGTCTGTACACGTGTGTGTATCTGTGTGTCTGTACGTGTGTGTGTCTGTGTATGTCTGTACACGTCTGTGTGTCTGTGTGTGTCTGTACACGTCTGTGTGTCTGTGTATGTCTGTACACGTGTCTGTGTCTGTACGTGTGTGTGTCTGTGTGTGTCTGTACACGTGTGTGTGTGTCTGTGTACACACACACACACCAACACGTGTACACACTAACGTGTACAGAGACACACTAACACGTGTACACACTCGTGTATACACACACGTGTACACACACACACGTGTACACACACACACGTGTACACACACGTGTACACACACACCAGCACGTGTTCACACTAACACTAGTACACACACACACTAGTACACACACACACTAACACGTGTACACACACACCAGCACGTGTTCACACTAACACTAGTACACACACACGTGTACACACACACACTAACACTAACACACACACTAGTACACACTAACACTAGTACACACTAGTACCCAGTTTACCCACCAGTCCCGGCACGATGATTGGTAGAGGCAGCGCCAGGAGTGGAGGCGCGAGTACACAAACACTAGTACACACACACTAGTACACACACACTAGTACACACTAACACACACACACTAGTACACACTAGTACACACACACACTAGTACAAAGATCCCCCATATAGCCTTAACAGACTGTAGGGGCAAGTGCTGTTAGCGAGCACCTATGAAGGCCGGAACGGTACACGAGGGGGTGGGTGGCCAGCACCACGCCCGACCGCCTTTGTCTCCCCAGTGGCGATGTTTACACACCGCACCAGGTACTCATTTTGAGGCTGAGTCGACCTAGGGGAGGCCCGGGACCGGTTCAGATAATCGTCACTGGTGTTGGCCGTGAGTGGGAATCGAACCCGGGTCGCCAGGTTCATAGCGCAGCGTAGCGCTAACCACTACACTACCGCTCCCCACACACTAACACACACACACTAGTACACACACTAACACACACACACACTAGTACACACACTAACACACACACACTAGTACACACACACTAGTACACACACACACTAGTACACGTGTACACACACACACTAACACACACTAGTACACACACACACTAGTACACACTAACACTAGTACACACACTAACACACACACACTAGTACACACACTAACACACACACTAGTACACGTGTACACACACACACTAACACACACTAGTACACACACACACCAGTACACACTAACACTAGTACACACACTAACACACACACACACTAGTACACACTAACACTAGTACACACTAGTACACACTAACACTAGTACACACTAGTACACACTAGTACACACTAACACACTAACACACACTAGTACACACTAACACTAGTACACACTAACACACACACACACTAGTACACACACACACTAGTACACGTGTACACACACACACACTAACACACACTAGTACACACACACACTAGTACACACTAACACACACACACACTAGTACACACTAACACTAGTACACACTAGTACACACACTAACACTAACACACACACTAACACACACACTAGTACACACACACGCACTAGTACACACACTAACACACACACACACTAGTAAACACACTAACACACACACACACTAGTACACACACTAACACACACTAGTACCCACACACTAGTACACACTAGTACACACTAGTACACACACACACTAGTACACACTAGTACACACTAGTACACACACACACACTAGTACCCACTAGTACACACTAGTACACACACACACTAGTACACACTAGTACACACTAGTACACACACACACACTAGTACACACTAGTACACACACACACTAGTACACACACTAGTACACACACTAACACTAGTACACACACACTAGTACACACTAGTACACACACACTAGTACACACACACACGTACACACACACTAGTACACACGAGTACACACACACTAGTACACACTAGTACACACACACACACTAGTACACACACACACTAGTACACACACTAGTACACACACACTAGTACACACACTAGTACACACACACTAGTACACACTAGTACACGTGTACACACACACACTAGTACACACTAGTACACACTAGTACACACACACACTAGTACACACACTAACACACACTAACACTAGTACACACACTAACACACAGTAGTACACACACTAACACACACTAGTACACACACACTAGTACACACTAGTACACACACACACTAGTACACACACACACTAGTACACACACTAACACACACTAACACTAGTACACACACTAACACACACTAGTACACACACTAACACACACTAGTACACACACTAGTACACACTAGTACACACACACACTAGTACACACACTAGTACACACACACTAGTACACACACACTAGTACACACTAGTACACACACACTAGTACACACTAACACACACACTAGTACACACACACACACTAGTACACACACACACTAGTACACACACACTAGTACACAAACTAGTACACACACACACTAGTACACACACACTAGTACACACTAGCACACACACACTAGTACACACTAACACACAAACACTAGTACACACACACTAGTACACACTAACACACACACACTAGTACACACACACTAGTACACACTAACACACACACACTAGTACACACACACACTAGTACACACACACACTAGTACACACTAGTACACACACACACTAGTACACACTAACACACACACACTAGTACACACACACACACACACTAGTACACACACACACACACTAGTACACACACACACTAGTACACACACACACACACTAGTACACACTAGTACACACTAGTACACACACACACACTAGTACACACACACACTAGTACACACTAGTACACACACACACTAGTACACACACACACTAGTACACACTAGTACACACACACACTAGTACACACTAGTACACACACACACTAGTACACACACACACTAGTACACACTAGTACACACTAACACTAGTACACACTAGTACACACTAGTACACACACACACACACTAGTACACACTAGTACACACACACACACACACACTAGTACACACTAGTACACACACACACTAGTACACACTAGTACACACTAACACTAGTACACACTAGTACACACACACACACTAGTACACACTAGTACACACTAACACTAGTACACACTAGTACACACTAACACTAGTACACACTAACACTAGTACACACTAACACTAGTACACACTAGTACACACACACTAGTACACACTAGTACACACACACACTAGTACACACTAGTACACACACTAACACTAGTACACACTAGTACACACACTAACACTAGTACACACACACACTAGTACACACTAGTACACACACACACTAGTACACACTAGTACACACACACACTAGTACACACTAGTACACACTAGTACACACTAACACACACACACTAGTACACACTAGTACACACTAACACTGGTACACACACACTAGTACACACACACACACTAGTACACACTAGTACACACACACTAGTACACACTAGTACACACACTAGTACACACTAGTACACACACACACTAACACACACTAACACACACTAACACTAGTACACACACTAACACACACACTAACACTAGTACACACTAGTACACACACACACTAGTACACACTAGTACACACTAGTACACACACACTAGTACACACTAACACACACACACTAGTACACACTAGTACACACACACACACACTAGTACACACTAGTACACACTAGTACACACACACACTAGTACACACTAGTACACACACACACACTAGTACACACTAGTACACACACACACTAGTACACACTAGTACACACACACACTAGTACACACACACTAGTACACACTAACACACACTAACACACACTAACACTAGTACACACACTAACACACACTAACACTAGTACACACACTAGTACACACACACACTAGTACACACACTAACACTAGTACACACACTAACACTAACACACACTAGTACACACTAACACTAGTACACACACTAACACACACTAACACTAGTACACACTAACACACACTAACACTAACACACACTAACACACACTAACACTAGTACACACTAGTACACACACACACTAACACACACTAACACTAGTACACACACTAACACACAATAACACTAGTACACACTAGTACACACACACACTAACACACACTAACACACACTAACACACACTAACACTAGTACACACACTAACACACACTAACACTAGTACACACTAACACACACTAACACTAACACACACTAACACTAGTACACATACTAACACACACTAACACTAGTACACACTAGTACACACTAACACTAACACACACTAGTACACACTAGTACACACACACACTAACACTAGTACACACACTAACACACACTAACACTAGTACACACACTAACACACACTAACACTAGTACACACACTAGTACACACTAACACTAGTACACACTAGTACACACTAACACTAGCACACACACACACACACTAGTACAAACTAGTACACACACACACACTAATACACTAACACACACTAGTACCCACACACTAGTACCCAATTTACCCACCAGTCCCGGCACGATGATTGGTAGAGGCAGCGCCAGGAGTGGAGGCGCGAGTACACACACACTAGTACACACACACTAGTACACACACTAGTACACACTAACACTAGTACACACACACTAGTACACACTAGTACACACACACACTAGTACACACTAGTACACACACACACACTAGTACACACTAGTACACACACACACACTAGTACACACTAGTACACACACACACTAGTATACACTAGTACACACACACACACACTAGTACACACTAGTACACACTAGTACACACACACACACTAGTACACACTAGTACACACACACACTAGTACACACTAGTACACACACACTAGTATACACACACTAGTACACACTAGTACACACACACACTAGTACACACTAGTACACACTAACACTAGTACACACTAGTACACACTAACACACACACACACTAGTACACACTAGTACACACACACACTAGTACACACTAGTACACACTAACACTAGTACACACTAGTACACACTAACACACACACACTAGTACACACTAGTACACACACACACTAGTACACACTAGTACACACACACACACTAGTACACACTAGTACACACACACACTAGTACACACTAGTACACACACACACTAGTATACACACACTAGTACACACTAGTACACACACACACTAGTATACACTAGTACACACACACACTAGTATACACACACTAGTACACACTAATACACGTGTACACACACTAGTACACACTAGTACACACACACACTAGTACACACTAACCCACACACACTAGTATACACTAGTACACACACACACTAGTACACACTAGTACACACACACACTAGTACACACTAGTACACACACACACTAGTACACACTAGTACACACACACACTAGTATACACACACTAGTACACACTAGTACACACACACACTAGTATACACTAGTACACACTAACACACTAGTATACACTAGTACACACACACACTAGTATACACTAGTACACACACACACACTAGTATACACTAGTACACACACACACTAGTATACACTAGTACACACACACACTAGTATACACACACTAGTACACACTAGTACACACACACACTAGTATACACTAGTACACACACACACTAGTATACACTAGTACACACACACACACTAGTACACACTAGTACACACACACACTAGTATACACTAGTACACACACACACTAGTATACACTAGTACACACTAACACACTAGTATACACTAGTACACACACACACTAGTATACACTAGTACACACACACACACTAGTATACACTAGTACACACACACACTAGTATACACTAGTACACACACACACTAGTATACACACACTAGTACACACTAGTACACACACACACTAGTATACACTAGTACACACACACACTAGTATACACTAGTACACACTAACACACTAGTATACACTAGTACACACACACACTAGTATACACTAGTACACACACACACACTAGTATACACTAGTACACACACACACTAGTATACACTAGTACACACACACACTAGTATACACACACTAGTACACACTAGTACACACACACACACTAGTATACACTAGTACACACACACACTAGTATACACTAGTACACACACACCAGCACGTGTTCACACTAACACTAGTACACACTAGTACACACTAACACTAGTACACACTAGTACACACTAACACTAGTACACACTAGTACACACTAACACTAGTACACACTAGTACACACTAACACTAGTACACACTAGTACACACTAACACTAGTACACACTAGTACACACTAACACTAGTACACACTAGTACACACTAACACTAGTACACACACACACACTAGTACACACTAGTACACACTAACACACACACTAGTACACACACTAACACTAGTACCCACACACTAGTACTAAGTTTACCCACCAGTCCCGGCACGATGATTGGTAGAGGCAGCGCCAGGAGTGGAGGCGCGAGTACACACACACTAGTACACACTAGTACACACTAGTACACACACACTAGTACACACTAGTACACACTAGTACACACACACTAGTACACACACTAGTACACACACTAACACACTAGTACACACTAGTACACACTAACACTAGTACACACTAGTACACACACACACTAACACACACTAGTACACCAACACACTAACACACTAACACTAGTACCCACACACTAGTATCCAGTTTACCCACCAGTCCCGGCACGATGATTGGTAGAGGCAGCGCCAGGAGTGGAGGCGCCATCAGCAGCAGGGGGCGGCGGAGCGCGTGCAGGCGGCGTAGTACCACGTGACCCCACATGGCGGCGATCTCGACACACACAGTGACATACACACACTGTGACACACACACACAAACACTAGTACACATACACACACAGTGACACACACACAGTGTATACACACACTGTGACACACACACACTAGTACACACACACACTGTGTACACACACACAAACACTAGTACACATACACACACAGTGACACACACACACTGTGACACACACACAGTGTACACACACACACTGTGACACACACACAAACACTAGTACACATACACACACAGTGACACACACACACTGTGACACACACACAGTGTACACACACACACTGTGACACACACACAAACACTAGTACACATACACACACAGTGACACACACACAGTGACACACACACACTGTGACACACACACAGTGTACACACACACAGTGACACACACACACAGTGACACACACACACTGTGACACACACACAGTGACACACACACACAGTGACACACACACAGTGTACACACACACAGTGACACACACACACAGTGACACACACACACTGTGACACACACACAGTGTACACACACACAGTGACACACACACACAGTGACACACACACACAGTGACACACACACACACACTAGTACACATACACACACAGTGACACACACACACAGTGTATACACACACTAGTACACACACAGTGTACACACACTGTGACACACACAGTAGTACACACACACTGACACACACACACTGTGACACACACACAGTGTGTGTGTACACACGTGTACACACACACTGTGTACACACACACACTGTGACACACACACACACGTGTACACACACACAGTGACACACACAGTGACACACACACAGTGTATACACACACTAGTACACACACAGTGTACACACACTGTGACACACACAGTGTACACACACTGTGACACACACAGTGTACACACACTGTGACACACACAGTGTACACACACACTGACACTAGTACACACACACACTGTGACACACACACAGTGTATACACACACTGTGACACACACACACTAGTACACACACACACTGTGACACACACACAAACACTAGTACACATACACACACAGTGACATACACACACTGACACACACACACAGTGACATACACACACTGACACACACACACTGTGACACACACACAGTGTACACACACACAGTGACACACACAGTGTACACACACACAAACACTAGTACACATACACACACAGTGACATACACACACTGACACACACACACTGTGACACACACACAGTGTACACACACACACTGACACACACACAGTGTACACACACACAAACACTAGTACACATACACACACAGTGACACACACTGTGACACACACACAGTGTGACACACACACAGTGACACACACACACTGACACACACACAGTGACACACACACAGTGACACACACACACAGTGACACACACACAGTGACACACACACACAGTGACACACACACACAGTGTACACACACACACAGTGACACACACACACACAGTGACACACACACAGTGTACACACACACACACTAGTACACACACACACTAGTACACACACACTAGTACACACACACACTAGTACACACACACACTAGTACACACACACGTGTACACACACTGTGACACACACACACTGTGACACACACACACTGTACACTCAACAACAACAACAACCGCCGTTCGCCACTAAGTGGCGGTGACGTCACCACGACGCTTGTGCCAGGCTATGTGCACCCTGAGGCCACGTGAAGTGTCAAACGCCCGCTGGCAGGAGGTCACGGGGCAGACCCAGGTGCCACGGGTCGACTGACTGAGATGACTGGCTGATGCACCACCTGTGCCCCCTACTGTGCCAACCTGCTGTGCTTTAGCCACCCGGCGCTCCGCTCGTTGTTGTGAGCGTCGCTCCTCCGCCCTCCGTTGTTGTTGGAGGGCGACTGCCTCCAAGTGCCCAGCAGCATCCCTCACGAGCCTCCTCCACAGAGGCCGATCTTGACACCGCTGGTACCAGTCATCGGCAAGTCCACTCAGCTCCACGTCCTCCTGCACCACATCACTCCATCTCTTCTCTAGCCCGTGCCGCACCCGCTTAGCCCCCTCGATCCGGCCGAACAAAAGCTGTTTCGGCATGCGGTGGCTGGGCATGCGGGCTACATGACCCAGCCATCGCAGCCTTGCCCGCCGGAGGAGCTCACCGATGGGACCTTGCCCAGATCTTTCAAGGATTTGTGAGCTCCTCACACAATCCAGTCTGGATAAACCCAGGATGGATCGTAGGCAGGCCAGCCTAAATGTTTCCAACCGGCGAAGATGTTCCATTAGGGGGGTCCACGTTTCGCAAGCATAGAGAAGGGAGGGAATGACCGTGGCCGAGAAGACCTGAAGCTTAGTGCGGAGCGACAAACCAGGTAGCTTCCACACAGCGTTACGCAACCGATGAAAAGATATTGCCGCTCGACTGATTCGGAGTGAGACCTCTGCTATTAAACTGGAGCCAGTCATAAGCACACTGCCCAGGTATGGGAAACTCTCCACTCTCTCCACAACTGCCCCATCACCGATTGGGAGTTGTGGGGGTGGAGTGTCCGATGCTACAAAATACCCAGGCAGGTGCTTAGTTTTGGTGGGGCTGATGGTAAGGCTCCATTTCTTAGTGGCAAGCTCCAGTCTCAGCAGAAGCGTCTCCAACTCCTCCTCTGAATGAGCAGCTATTACCAAATCATCAGCATATATAACGTGGTTGAGCAATAGGGAGCCATCCCTTGACCGCACCCGGGCATCGATCAGCCTCCCGTTATATCTGTACCATATGGAGATTCCCCCGGTACAGCTATTGAAGGCTTCACGAACTACGTGGTCAAAATAGATGTTAAATAATGTGGGAGCCAGAGGACGTCCCTGTCGCACCCCAAGGTGTACATGGAATGGCTCTGACTCCCGGCCACGTAGTTTTACCCGGGCCCGCTCACCATCATGAGGGTCCTTAATGATCGTGAGCAGAGGGTCAGGGACTCCGAAAGCACGAAGAACAACCCAGAGCCCAGGGCCTACTGATGGTATCATAGCCCTTGACCAGGTCTTGTCGGAATTCCCTACACCTCTGCTCTAGCAGACAGACAGAACATATGGCGAGTTGGAGGAACCTTGTCGGAGTGGGATGCCACTGATGGGGCCCCACACAGAACGTGTCTGATGCCACCACGGGGAAACACAAAACCGGGCCCTCGTGAAACAATTTGTCAGGAGCTAGTAGATCAACAGTCGGCATGCCTTGAATCAGGAGGTGGGGAAGCTTTTTTTTCTGCCAAGGGCCATTTGGTTATTTATAAAACGTCATTCGCGGGCCGTACAAAATTGATCAACTTAGAAAATTTGCCCGTTGTTGTAATCGGTCAAACATTTTCATGAACTCGCCCCTAACGCGATGGCTGCTGAGACTGGAGCGTGCCGCTAAGAGGCGTGGGGCCTTACCATCAGCCCCACGCCAAAACTAAGCACCTGCCTGGGTATTTTGAACCATAGGACACTCCACCCGCACAACTCCCAATCGGTGATGGGGCAGTTGTGGAGAGAGTGGAGCTATCCACTGTGGCCAGCCACCACTGTGGTGGTGGTGGTGGTGGCGGAGGTGGTGGTGGTGGTGGTGGTGGCGGAGGTGGTGGTGGTGGTGATGGTGGTGGTGGCGGTGGTGGTGGTGGTGGTGGTGGCGGTGGCGGAGGTGGTGGTGATGGTGGTGGTGGCGGAAGTGGTGGTGATGGTGGTGGTGGTGGCGGAGGTGGTGGTGGCGGTGGTGGTGGCGGTGGTGGTGGTGGCGGAGGTGGTGGTGGTGGCGGTGGTGGTGGTGGTGGTGGTGGTGGCGGAGGTGGTGGTGGTGGTGGTGGCAGAGGGCTTCTTGGTGGTCAGAATAATTCTTGGTCGTTATTTGCGTGACTTTAGGTGTGAATTCGTGTTCGTTTTGATGGTGGTGGTGTTGGTTGTTGTGTTTTTATTTTTTTTCCACCAAAATTCGCCCCCGTTTTCTCATTCACAAAAGGGGTTCCTTACTTTGTTAAAGTATCGCCTGTCCTGGTCACAAAAGCCAAAGTTTGTGGGGAATGATAGCCACCTGCTTGTACTTTTGAGGCGTAAGCAATTAGGGAAATAACACTTACTACCCAGGGACAAACCCAAACACATTATTTCGTCAGGAAAACTTATTATTCGACTCGAGAGAGAAAGAGGGATGCGAAGGAGCTCTAAAATCACCACCATCACAATCGTTACCGCCACCATCACAATCACCACCATCACAATCATCATCACCACCACCACAATCACCATCATCACAATCACCGCCATCACAATAACCACCATCACAATCATCACCACCACCACAATCACCGCCACCACCACAATCACCACGATCACAATCATTGCCAACACCACCATCATCACAATCACCACCATCACAATCATCACCACCACCACAATCAACACCATCACAATCACCACCACAATCACTACCACAATTACCACCACAATCACAATCACCACCACCATCACAATCATCACCACCACCACGATCACAATCGCCACCATCACAATCATCGCCACCACCATTATCACAATCATCACCACCACAATCACCACCACAATCACAATCACCACCATCACAATCATCACCACCATCACAATCATCACCACCACCACAATCACCACCACACAATCACCACCATCACAATCACCACCATCACAATCATCATCACCACCACAATCACCACCATCACAATCACCGCCATCACAATCACCACCATCACAATCATCACCACCACCACAATCATCACGATCACAATCATCACCAACACCACCATCATCACAATCACCACCATCACAATCATCACCACCACAATCACCACCATCACAATCACCACCACCACAATCACTACCACAATCACCACCACCACCACAATCACCACCATCACAATCATCACCACCTCCACGATCACAATCGCCACCATCACAATCATCGCCACCACCATCATCACAATCATCACCACCACAATCACCACCACAATCACAATCACCACCATCACAATCATCACCACCATCACAATCATCACCACCACCACAATCACCACCACACAATCACTGCCATCACAATCACCACCATCACAATCATCATCACCACTACGATCACAATCACCACCATCGCAATCACCACCATCACAATCATCACCACCACTACGATCACAATCACCACCATCACAATCACCACCGTCACAAACGCCAGCATCACAATCATCGCCACCACCACAATCACCACCATCACAATCATCACCACCACTATGATCGCAACCACCACCATCACAATCACCATCATCACAATCATCACCACCACTACGATCACAATCACCACCATCACAATCACCACCGTCACAAACGCCAGCATCACAATCATCGCCACCACCACAATCACCACCATCACAATCACCACCATCACAATCACCACCATCACAATCACCACCACAATCATCGCCTCCACCACCACAATCACCACCATCACAATCACCACCATCAAAATCATCGCCACCACCATCATCATGATCACCACCATCACAATCATCGCCACCACCACCATCATCACAATCACCACCATCACAATCACCATCACCACCATCATCACAATCACCACCATCACAATAACCACCATCGCAATCACCACCATCACCACCACCACAATCATCGCCTCTACCACCACCACAATCATAACCATCACAATCACCACCACCACCACAATCACCACCATCACCATAACCACCACAACCACCATCACCACCACAATCACCTGTAAACTTATGTCAGCAGCAACAGCAGCAGCAGAAGAAGACGAATTCGCCAACTCATCACGCGCCTCCTCCTCGTCCTCGTCCTCCTCCTCCTCCTCTCTGGAGGCTGAGCGATGGCCTCTGACTGCACTTCTCCGGCTCTTTGAAGGCGTTCGTCTTGCCACTTAAATCGCACAGTCAACACCACCACCACCACACCACACTTGCACACACACACGCACACACACTTGGACACACACACACGCACACACGCTCTCACACGATGTGGGAATCGTTGACTCGGTTCGAGACTGAATGAGTTAACTCGTGGGCAGATGATTGACTCGTTGGTGAGGTCTTAAACCGGTTGGGTGGTGGTGATGGTGGTGGTGGTGTTGGTGGTGGTGATGGTGGTGATGATGGTGGTGGTGGTGGTGATGGTGGTGGTGGTGTTGGTGGTGATGGTGGTGGTGGTGATGGTGGTGGTTGTTTACGTGGGAGTGGTGATGGTGGTCGTGATGGTGGTGGTGTTGGTGGTGGTTTGGGTGGTGGTGGTGATGGTCGTGGTGTTGGTGATGATGGTGGTGGTTTGCGTGGGGGTGGTGATGGTGATGGTGGTGAGTGTGGTGGTGAGTGTGGGGGTGGGGTGATGGTGGTGAGTGTGGGGGTGGTGGTGGTGATAGTGGTGAGTGTGATGATGATGATGATGGTGGTGATGATGGTGATCGTAGTTTGTGTGGGGGTGGTGATGGTGGTTTGTGTGTGGGTGGTGATGGTCGTGGTGGTGATGGTGGTGGTGATGGTGGTTTGCGTGGGGGTGGTGATGGTGGTGGTGATGGTGGTGATGATGATGGATGTGAGTGTGGGGGTGGTGGTGATGGTGGTGAGTGTGAGTGTGGGGGTGATGGTGGTGAGTCTGGTGATGATGGTGGGGGTGAGTGTGGTGGTGAGTGTGGAGGTGGGGTGATGGTGGTGAGTGTGGGAGTGGTGGTGATGGCAATGATGGTGGTGATGGTGGTGATGGTGGTGATGGTGGTGATGGTGATGATGGTAGTGGGGGTGGTGATGGTGGTGGTGATGGTGATGATGGTGGTGATTTTGGTGATGGTGGTGGTGATGATGGTGGTGAGTCTGGTGATGGTGGTGATGGTGGTGATGGTGGTGGTGATGTTGGTGATGATGATGATGGTGGTGGTGATGGTGGTGATGATGGTGGTGATGATGATGGTGGTGGTGATGGTGGTGGTGATGGTGGTGATGGTGGTGGTGATGGTGGTGGTGATGATGATGATGGTGGTGGTGATGGTGGTGGTGATGGTGGTGATGGTGGTGATGGTGGTGGTGATGGTGGTGATGGTGGTGGTGATGATGATGGTGGTTGTGATGGTGGTGGTGATGGTGGTGATGTTGGTGGTGGTGGTGATGATGATGATGGTGTACATCATAGGCGCTGCTACTCGCTACTATCAGCACTTGCCCCTACAGCCCTGCTAGAGGCTACCTGGGGGAGCTTTGTCTGTGTGTGCATCATAGGTGGTGCTACTCGCTGAGTGAATGGGTGAGTGACTAGGTGAGTGGCTGGGTGAGTGGCTGGGTGAGTGACTGGGTGAGTGGCTGGGTGAGTGACTGTGTGAGTGACTGGATGAGTGACTGGGTGAGTGGCTGGGTGAGTGACTGGGTGAGTGGCTGGGTGAGTGACTGTGTGAGTGACTGGGTGAGTAACTGGGTGAGTGGCTGGGTGAGTGACTGAGTGAGTGGCTGGGTGAGTGAGTGGGTGGGTGAGTGAATGAGTGAGTGAGTGGGTGGGTGAGTGGTGAGTGGGTAAGTGAATGAGTGAGTGAGTGGGTGAGTGAATGAGTGAGTGAGTGGGTGAGTGAGTGAGTGAGTGGGTGAGTGAGTGAGTGGGTGAGTGAGTGAGTGGGTGAGTGAATGAGTGGGTGAGTGAGTGAGTGAGTGAATGAGTGGATGAGTGAATGAGTGGGTGGGTGAGTGAGTGAGTGAGTGGGTGAGTGAGTGAGTGGGTGAATGAGTGAGTGGGTGAATGAGCGAGTGAGTGAGTGAGTGAATGAGTGGGTGAATGAGTGAGTGAGTGGGTGAATGAGTGAGTGAGTGGGTGACTGAGTGAGTGGGTGAGTGAATGAGTGAGTGAGTGAATGAGTGAGTGAATGAGTGAGTGGGTGAGTGGGTGAGTGAATGAGTGAATGAGTAAATGAATGAGTGGGTGAGTGAATGAGTGAGTGCATGAATGAGTGAGTGAGTGGGTGAGTGAATGAATGAGTGAATGAATGAGTGAGTGAATGCATGAGTGAGTGAGTGAGTGAATGAGTGAGTGAATGAATGAATGAATGAAGGAATGAATGAGGGAATGAATGAGTGAGTGAGTGAATGAGTGAATGAATGAGTGAATGAGTGAGTGAATGAGTGAATGAATGAGTGAATGACTGAATGAGTGAATGAATGAGTGAGTGAGTGAGTGAATGAATAAATGAATGAGTGAGTGAATGAATGAATGAGTGAATGAATGAGTGAATGAGTGAATGAATGAGTGAATGAGTGAGTGAATGAATGAGGGAGTGAATGAATGAGTGAGTGAATGAGCGAATGAGTGAATGAGTGAATGGGTGAGTGAGTGAATGAGCGAATGAGTGAATGAATGAGCGAGTGAATGAGTGAATAAATTAGTGAATGAGTGAATGAATGAGTGAGTTAATGAGTGAGTGAATGAGTGAGTGGGTGAGTGGGTGAGTGAATGAGTGAATGAGTAAATGAAAGAGTGGGTGAGTGAATGAGTGAGTGCATGAATGAGTGAATGAGCGAGTGAATGCATGAGTGAGTGAGTGAATGAGTGAATGAATGAGTGAGTGAGTGAGTGAATGAGTGAATGAATGAATGAGTGAGTGAGTGAGTCAATGAATAAATGAGTGAGTGAATGAATGAATGAGTGAATGAATGAGTGAATGAGTGAATGAATGAGTGAATGAGTGAGTGAATGAATGAGGGAGTGAATGAATGAGTGAGTGAATGAGCGAATGAGTGAATGAGTGAATGGGTGAGTGAGTGAATGAGCGAATGAGTGAATGAATGAGCGAGTGAATAAGTGAATAAATTAGTGAATGAGTGAATGAATGAGTGAGTGAATGAGTGAGTGAATGAGTGAGTGGGTGAGTGGGTGAGTGAATGAGTGAATGAGTAAATGAAAGAGTGGGTGAGTGAATGAGTGAGTGCATGAATGAGTGAATGAGCGAGTGAATGCATGAGTGAGTGAGTGAATGAGTGAATGAATGAGTGAATGAATGAGTGAATGAGTGAATGAATGAATGAGGGAATGAATGAATGAGTGAATGAATGAGTGAGTGAATGAGTGAATGAGTGAATGAATGAGTGAATGAGTGAGTGAATGAGTGAATGAATGAGTGAATGACTGAATGAGTGAATGAATGAGTGAGTGAGTGAGTGAATGAGTGAATGAATGAGTGAGTGAGTGAGTGAGTGAGTGAATGAATAAATGAATGAATGAGTGAGTTAGTGAATGAATGAATGAGTGAATGAATGAGTGAATGAGTGAATGAATGAGTGAATGAGTGAGTGAATGAATGAGGGAGTGAATGAATGAGGGAGTGAATGAATGAGTGAGTGAATGAGCGAATGAGTGAATGAGTGAATGGGTGAGTGAGTGAATGAGCGAATGAGTGAATGAATGAGTGAGTGAATGAGCGAATAAATTAGTGAATGAGTGAATGAATGAGTGAGTGAATGAGTGAGTGAATGAATAAGTGAATGAGTGAGTGAATGAATGAGTGAATGAGTGAATGAATGAGTGTATGAGTGAATGAATGAATGAGGGAGTGAATGAATGAATGATCGAATGAGTGAATGAGTGAGTGAATGAGTGAATGAATGAGTGAGTGAATGAGTGAGTGAATGAATGAGTGAATGAGTGAGTGAATGAATGAGTAAGTGAATGAATGAGTGAGTGAATGAGTGAATGAATGAGTGAATGAGTGAATGAATGAGTGAATGAGTGAGTGAATGAATGAGTGAGTGTGTGAATGAGTGAATGAATGAGTGAATGAGTGAGTGAATGAATGAGAAGTGAATGAATGAGTGAATGAATGAGTGAATGAGGGAATGAATGAGTGAGTGTGTGAATGAGTGAGTGAATGAATAAATGAATGAGTGAATGAGTGAATAAATGAGTGAGTGAATGAATGAGTGAATGAATGAGTGAATGAGTGAATGAATGAGTGAGTGAATGAGTGAATGAATGAGTGAATGAGTGAATGAATGAGTGAATGAGTGAATGAATGAGTGAGTGAATGAGTGAATGAATGAGTGAATGAGTGAGTGAAGGAATGAATGAATGAGTGAATGAATGAGTAAGTGAGTGAATGAGTGAGTGAATGAGTGAATGAATGAGTGAATGAGTGAATGAATGAGTAAGTGAATGCATGAATGAGTGAATGAATGAGTGAATGAGTGAATGAATGAGTGAGTGAATGAGTGAATGAATGAGTGAATGAGTGAGTGAATGAATGAATGAGTGAATGAATGAGTAAGTGAGTGAATGAGTGAGTGAATGAGTGAATGAATGAGTGAATGAGTGAATGAATGAGTAAGTGAATGCATGAATGAGTGAATGAGTGAGTGAGTGGGTGAGTGGGTGAGTGAGTGAATGAATGAGTGAGTGGGTGAGTGAGTGAATGAATGAGTAAGTGAATGAATGAATGAGTGAATGAGTGAGTGAATGAGTGAATGAGTCAATGAATGAGTAAGTGAATGAATGAGGGAATGAATGAGTGAATGAATGAATGATTGAATAAGTGAGTCAGTGGTTAGCGCACTGCGCTATGAATCCGGCTTCACGAGTTCCATTCGCGCTCACGACCAATGAAAGTCGCGGCCATTTGAACCGGTCCTGGGCCTCCCCTAGATCGACTCGGCCTTAAATGAGTCAGCACTGGGGGAGACAAACTTCTGTCTGTCTCTGTCTGTCTGTCTGTCTCTGTCTGTCTCTGTCTGTCTGTCTGTCTCTGTCTGTCTCTGTCTGTCTGTCTGTCTCTGTCTGTCTCTGTCTGTCTCTGTCTGTCTGTCTGTCTCTGTCTGTCTCTGTCTGTCTCTGTCTGTCTGTCTGTCTGTCTCTGTCTGTCTGTCTCTGTCTGGATGTCTGTCTCTGTCTGTCTCTGTCTGTCTGTCTCTGATGTCTGTCTCTGTCTGTCTGTCTGTCTGTGATGTCTCTGTCTCTGTCTCTGTCTGTCTGTCTCTGTCTGTCTGCCTGTCTGTCTGTCTCTGTCTGTCTGTCTCTGTCTGGATGTCTGTCTGTCTCTGTCTGTCTGTCTGTCTCTGTCTGTCTGTCTCTGTCTGTCTCTGATGTCTCTGACTGTCTGTCTCTGTCTGTCTGTCT